CTGCATCATTCGGACATCTTCTGGGGCCTGCTGGGCATCTTCTGGGGCCCGTTCAAGCCCAGGCACTAAGACCTCATCCGTGGTCGCGGCGTTGTAGGCGCTCCACTCTCAGGGCCAACTGACCTGGGTCGCCGAGGTGTCTTCCGCACCTTTGAAAACCAGGTCCTCAGGAAGAGGTAGTCATCTAGGATCTCATATTCACCCTTGTACAAGGTGGAGGCCAGGCCATGGAAGGTCCATGAAGCTGTGGGAGCCTGCATTCCTTCAAACGTTCACGCTCCGAGGCATGGCGAAGTTGTTCAGGGGAACACCTCTTCAAGCGTCCATGGCTCCAAATAATGCTGCTCCAAAGCTTGTGAGCCAAACGAAGGTGACTCTGAGGCTGTGCTGGTGGCTTGATCCGCTTGAAGTAGACCAAATCACCTGGAAGAAAAGTAGTCTTTCTCCGGGTCTTGGCATTTGAAGCTCGTGAGATGAGCTCTCTTGACTCTTTCACCGAGGTCCACCATGGATCGTCATTGCCATTCTCGCGGAAGCGTCCAGTCAGCGTAGGCTGCCTGCCAAAAGCCCTTTGGAAAGGGGAGTATATCCTCAACTTTCTCAAACTGGTTGTGAGTCTGGCAAGCCTGGATGGCAGCTTGCCAAGGTGAGCAATCACTTCCTTGCAGGACCTGTCGGATCGTGGCCTTGATGGTCCGGATGGAACGCTCAACAATGCCAATTTGGCCATGGTCTTCCGCTGCACGCGGAAGAAGTTCAACTCCTCTCTCCTCGGCCCACAGACCAAGTGCATTGGATCTGAAAGCTCCTTCTGGGTCCATCCTGATCTTGCCGGGGAGGCCATAGTGAAGGATCCATGTACTCTCAAGGCCATGAATGACCTCGTCACTGGTCGCATTCCGCGAGTCTGCTGCAGGATGCTCATATAGATAATGGCAGCACATCAACCGTGAAGCTTCGTCCACCATCGCCATCATGTGATAGGTGATGTCGGCCACTGTGAACTCCATGTTGTCAATCACCAAGGTCTCCCAGAGAGTCTCTGACGATGATGGATGTAAAGGTGCTGCACGTAGTTCTTGACATTTTGGACAAGTGCGCTTGCTTGCGAGTTGGATGACCTCCGGATGAGCACCTCTGCCCTGAGCATCGGATATTGATCCTAATCAATAAACCGAAAAAATATCAATATTTTTGATTTGCCAAAAATATTGAAAATCATATTGATTTTGATATTGATTCCGGTATTGATTTCTGGGCAGCTTCGAAAAAGCAAATTTGATCAAATTTGATCAATTTTGATCAAATTTGATCAAATTTGGCTGGTTTTTGATCAAATTTGATCAAATTTGGCTGGTTTTTGATCAAATTTGATCAAATTTGATCAAGCTGACCATGTTGCTGTTTATAGAATTTCCTATTGATTTTTGCTTGGCTTTGAGGAAGAATTTCTATTGAAAAAGCACGCGCCCAAATCAATAGAAATTGTTGATTTTTTCAAGAATATTGATTAGGATCAATATCTGATGCCCAGGGTGTGTCGCAAGCATGAACTTAGAGCAGCATTGGAAGGATGATCTGTTTCTTGCGCAACCGTTCCAGCATCTCAAATAAACACACCACGTTTCTCCTTCTCGTTCAGGTGGGCTTCTCAGGCGCCATGTCTCCTGTGCCAAAAACGGGGTAGGCGCAGGCAGGAATCACACTGTTGGCTTCTGCCATGTCCATCTCCTTGACGGCCTTGAAGATCACATCGCAAAGAGCTGAAGGATAAAAGCCTGAGTTGCGAGCCACTTGTGGTGTGGATGAACTGCAGAACTACGTGAAACAGCTCTGGCCACCACCTTTGAGGTTGTCTTGATCAGCCAGGGCTTTCGAATTGGAAGTCCTGATCTCTCCTCTCTCAAGCCAAAGGCGCATCCATTGGCATGTCCACAATGAAGGTCTCCTGTCTGTTCCAGCCGGCTCCAAAATTGTCTCACTGGCTGAAGATTCCATCCTCTATAGTGAGGGCCACTCCCAAGCCACGTCACGGCCTTGTTGAGTTGATGGGTAGCGAGGTCGAGACCATTCTTGATCATCTTCTTGGCTTTTTGTTTCCTCTCCATGCTCTTGGCTTTGGCCAGCTCGTCCTCTCTTCTGCCAACTGCGACTTCGACTCGATCGGACACGATGAAAAGCTCTCTTAAACATGACTGTCACAAAGTTCCGAATGCAATTGACCAAGGGAAGGTTCACAAACAAAATCATGAGGAAATATGCCGGGAGGCCGCTCCATGTATGCTCCTGTGGTCGCGGATGCACTGTCTGACACGGGGTGATACCAGTCACAGGTCATGTCCAGCAGCAAGTGTTCATTTGCTTCAGCTGAATCCATTCTTCTGAGAACTTGCGAAGCTGCATCATGTTGCGTTCTGTATCGATGACAGCTCCCATGCATCGCAAAGTGCGGACGCTCAACAACAAAAAGGAACGCCAGGTGCATCAATGGCGCGCACACCAAGAGCTACTTTTGCTCCCCCAATCACTTGTGGAAGCTCAACAAATGAGGCGGCTACCTGATCAGGCGCAGGTTCATGATCTCCTGCAAGGCATCTGGCGACGCCAAGGATTCCGTCGCGCCCAAATCAATCACTGCATGGCCAGGATACTCAACAGCCACAGCTGCAAGGGATGAGGCGATGGAGCTCCGTGGTTGAGTGGAAAAGGCGCTTTTAGGTTGCGCTGCCTTGGACGGGTTGTGGACCCGTGTGTTTGACCTAGGGTGGTCACGTTGTTCATTAAGGGTTTGAACACTTGTGTTGACAGCTTCTTTTGCTTGAACGTTGCATTGGAGCCTCGCGTCTACCAATACTGGTAGCGGAGCCCTGAACTCCAGGGCTCCCTGCCAGGGTTGGTGGTCGCGGCTGTCGTTGATCTTGGTTGCCTTCGGCATTGTTGGATTGGACAGTCACCTGGCCTCACGGCCCGCCCTAGTGTTTGGGGCAACCGGAATTCGGGAATTCGTTTGTTGCAGCAGCATGACGTCAGTGGAGCGCAAGGAACACATTGCTACATGGAACGGTGATGCAACATTGTGGCTTGACTATGTGAAGCGTGTCAAGTTGCAATACGAGAGGACGGAGCCCAAGAAGCGTTGTTTGTTGGGAGCAGAGTTGGCAAGTCGGTTGACAGGCAAAGCATGAGATGTCGAACGGAGCTTCATACCTGTTGTCTTTCCTGGAGGAGCGCCTTTGCAAGACACCTTGAGGAGTTCTTCATGAAGTTGAGACGCCAGCACATCAATGACTCAGTGGGCAACTTCGTTGAGGGAGTCGTACCGGCGCCTTCAACGAGCAATGGCTCGCCAGACACAACAAGCATTGCCATCCTCCTCATTGAAGGAGACTGGCCCGGTCAGACAGACCACACCGCTGACGACTCCCAGTCGTGAACGACGTTCGGATCGCGCTACACCGCAGGCCCGTCATGAGACCTTTGCCACCTTTCCCGATGTTGAAGTGACCTCCAACCCGGTAGAGCTGGAGACGATCAGCAGGAACCTTTTGAGCCCGACGCCCCTCGGCGTAGTGATTATGCTGGATTACCACAGGATGACCAAAGGTGGACTGCCGCCGAGTGGCGGGACTGGCAACGCAATCGCTGGTCTTGGTGGGATGATATAGTTCCTCAGCTGCCCCTTGGCCTGAAGAAGAAGAAGAAGAAGAAGAGGTATAGTGGGAACTGTGTTCAAATACTCCCCCAAGAGTTGTTGGGTTGGTTGTTGTTGCGCCGCAGTGGTTTGCCTGCCGCTGCTCGACTCTCGGTGCTGAGCGCCATCGACAACAAGCTCGATCTGGAGACCATGGAGGCAGCGATGCGAGAGCAAGAAGAAGAGTTGCTGGTGGCCGAGTGTCATCGAGCACCTCATCTTGCCCGACCTTGACGTTCCTTTTGGGTTGAGCAGGACCCCGAATGGGGACTTTTGAATGAACCCGACATGGACGAGGTGGAAGAAGCGTCGATCTATTGGGTTTTGATGGGAGGAAACGGGTTCAGCGTGGACTTCCTGGTCACCGGATGGCAGGAGCTCACTTGGACCTGGCAGGAGGACGACGTCTATGCCCAGGACTTGGCCGGAGCCTTTTGGTCGTGGACCGAATACAAGGAGTGGTTGGACGCAGAAGACATGGCGCAATCCAACCCCCAAGAAGCAGAGAACATGTTTGCCGTTTTCGCTGCCTTCCAAGACAAGATGAGATCATTTCGAGATAGTCGAAAGTTGAACTATGCCAAACAGCATTCACGTGGTTACTACCCCCTCTCCATGTTCAAGGGCAAGTCCAAAGGGAAGGGCAAGAAAGGAAAACCTAAAGGTTCTTTTGGTTCCGCGCCTTCAGGGAAGGGATCCTCAGGCACTCAACGCCCTGCGAATCCAGAATACCGTGGATGCTTTTGGCGCAAAGCGAAGGCAAAAGGACGTCCTAGGATTTGGACCCAAGCAATCCGTTGGAGATCAATCGCTCGTGAACCTGGGGATGCAACAAATGGCTGAACCTGTCAAGATCGTTTTCCAAGACCACTCCACCTAAACATCACCGAGACACAACCTACACATGACTGAGGCACCACTTCATACACCCACAGAAACATGACCACCTACTGTATACATAAACGAGACACCACAGAAACATGAACGAGATACCACCTAAATATGACCGGGACACCACCAAAACATACCGAGACACCACCTAAACATGACCAAGACACCGGGACACCACCGCCCAGCCTCGGGGCCATGGATCCGACGGCGCCCAGCCGCCTAAAGAGTGTACAACCCCAAGCTATCGCTATTGGGGAATAAAAGACCGCACGGGCAAAAACATCACACCACAACGGAAAAAGGGTCGACCCCATAGCAACCTTGCCACCTGAAGATGTTACATGTGATTCGCAAGCCCAAGCTATCGCTTTTGAAAGCCATTGGGGGGGCATGTGTGTCGGTCATGTTTTGGCGGCGCCTCTGCCAAAAAAGCTTGCATGTTCATGGGAGCCTTCCATGCAGCTCTCAACGCTGCCGCATGCAACAATTTAACGCATGGACATAGGCCTTCATCTTGCAGCCGAACACCGTGGCTAAGAAACGAAGCCTTAAACGCAGCCAGTTCATGGAAGGGAATCAGGAAAAGCCCTTCACGATTTATCCTGTCATCTTCAATCCTCACACGACATCATGAAGGAATCCCCCACCACTATAATACATGCGCTTGGATCAAGGAGCAAGAGATACAATGTTGAACTGGAGCTCTTTTTGGAAGAGGAAAGAGAACGATCAAAGCCGAATACGAAGTGAAGACACAGTGAACCAGCTTGCTCGAGGCCCTGAGTGGAGTGCTCTTCGGAACGTGATCCACGCCTAGAGTGAAGATGTGTGAAGCCTGTGACGCCCGAACTAACTTCACTCTCCAATGAGCAAGCCAAGCAAATCAGTACTTAGTTTTCACGACTGCAGAACAAATCTCACATAAAGATCGCACGGTGGGGTTTACAGGTCAGTTTGAGGGACAACGGACTGGTCTTGTCAACAAGAGCCAAGAACGCGGACAAAGCATAAACACACACATACACAGCAGGCTTGGAAAGTCAAATCAGGAGATTCAATTATAGAATCAGATCCTCACGCAGTGCCATGATTTGCACCTACTCATGTGGATGATGTAGGAGCATCAATGCGGCGATCACCATTGGACGCACTTACTGAATATGATGCAGAATCCATGACTCAGATGGCAGCCTTTGCTGCGTTCATTACCAAATGGTGGCAGCCATAGCACACGATGGGCAAAACGAGAACACGCAATTCACTTGCTTGCTTCCTTGCCCCCCACTAAGACCTGGGCTATCAGAGTTGTAGTATGGCCTTGTGTTAAGGGACCCCTCTGCATTGTGAATAGCTTGTCCAGGCCCAGGCATTGTTGTGTTTGAAGACTTGTTCTCAATTGGCAATGGCTGGGCATCCTCAGGCTGATGGCAGCCAGCCTGGGAAATTCTTATCTTGGGTCAGTAGTAGCAAGAAGCTACTAGGAGCAAAGGGCATCGCTACTAGGAGCAAAGGACGCTACTAGTAACAAGGGCATCGCTATTAGTAGCAAGAAGCTACTAGGAGCAAAGGGTTCTTCAAGGCAGAAGCCCCTTGCTGCGCATGAACAGAACGGTTCCTACGCGCAAAGCCCACGAAAAGCAAAGGGCCTCCGAATGGAATGATCCGACGCAGATCTAAGTCGTTTCTCGCGATTTGATTCGAGCACGTTTCAATCATCTTTCTTTGGCCTTTGGGGTTCTGCTTTTGGTTGAATTACGGTGGAAGCCTCTCCATGTTGACTATATGACTATATATCTACTGTACGATGTGTCCAAGTGAAACCCCTTAGCCTTAAGCCTTATATGGGCCTACGTCGACTAGGACACCACACTGAAGTTCCTTGTCATGTTAGAGGCGCGCTGTGATCCTAGATCAAGATCATTCATGCATGCGTCGTTAAGGTGCAGAAACGACAACACCGTCATTGACAACATTGACACCATCCTCAAATGTTAAAGGCCTTGCATGTGCGATGTGGTGCAACTGTCGCAAACATTCCGCGCAGCGATGCTCTTCACCACGTGAGGCGGACGTCGCACAGGCTTTGCACCGCGTGGAGTTGAGAGCAAAGATGAAAAGCCCAAGTTGATCTTGGTAGACAGGAATGAACCTTTTGCCACGCTGCATGTGTCCCAATGCACAAAATGACAATGAAGTATTTGCACGCATGGCAGGTTTGCAAAAGCTGCATCAAGATGCATCAGATGCTTTGTATCTCCAGGAATTACTGGAAGTTGTCGCACTTGTTCGTGCCTCTTCCATGGGCTGTGAGATAGTGACTTAGTCAGCAAGATCTGACAGCCTTGGGCCAGCTTTAGAATTTAGATTAATTTAGAAGTCTACATCTGTCAGGTTGCAGGGCTGCTGAGAAGGCAGACCAAACCTATGTCACTTATGCCAAGCAGTTGTGGCGGTTTTAAGACTGCGCAGTTCGCAAGTCAATGTCTGCCTGTTATCTGCTGAAAGGGTCTGCTTGCAAGAAATGAAGCATCATATACAATGTCTGTATACATATAATATAGTCCCTGGCTGATTGAGCCAGTTGCTTCAGTTTGACATGTATATATAGTGAGAATCTTTACTTCAGGATCAAAAGGCAGGTCCAGCCCTGAGAAACGTTCCACCTTTAGATACCATATACTTCGGCAGGTGGGGAAATTGCGCAGGGCAAGGCAACAGTTCTTGCTAAATGCAATGCAGCTTTGAATCATGGGAGCGTTTCAAAATACATTTTCGAAGATCTGTGAAAACGACACTCTGCACAGGGTGGGCCATGGTGGCCGTGCAGAAGAACGAATTCGATTCTGCTGGCAAAGAAAACTGCTGACACTGCTCATGGATAATGACATTTGGAGAGCAAATGCTCCCAGCAAAGTCAGCATCTCTCAGCCAACAACTTCTAGGGCATGGGGCCTTGGGAGCACAGAATTTATCCGAGCTCACCAGGCAATCTTCTGAGCAACTGCAAACCAACCTTCTACCATCTGCACCCTCCATGATATTTTGGCTATTCATGCCCGTGCTTGTTTCCTGGGTTTTTGCCTCTCATATTGTTTGGCCCTATGTCAAACAAATATATGGTGGTACTACTCGTAGTCCAATGTAGTCCATTTGTTTGCCAGGTGAAAAAGAAAACGTCGTTTCCGAGGAAGTTCGAAAGGCTCTGTGGGCCGCACAGTTTTGACCACTTTGGCTCCAGAGGATGGCAGTCACCCACCTTAAAGTCCCCTCTAGATGCTCACGCGGCCACTATCACATCTCAGTCGAAATCAAGATGCCTTTATAGTCATAGTTTTCAGCTGTAGAAGTGTAAATAGAGAGTGTGATAAGAGTGTGTATACATATGCAGCATGTATATATGATGAATGTGTGTGTGTGCCACACCCTGTTCCTAAGGGTCTCCCACATGTCTGAACTCTTGCTTGCTCATTTTTTTAAAAGCAGGGGGACTGGAGCCAAACCAACAAAGCTGTGGCATGTCGGTGGATGAGTGGAGTTGTAGCTGCGTTTTTAACCACCCGTATTCTCTATGTAGAAACATTTCTTTTCATTCGACTTGTTGCCTTACCGTTTTTTCGGCCAAGGTCTAGCTGCAGTAACTTTCGTTGAACCGTTTTCTGAAATCGTGCTCCTACGAGCCCTCTCTCTCTCTCCCTCTCCCTCCCTCTCTCTCTCTCTCTGTGACCACAGCATCATCCCACTGTGGTGCGCTGCGTGATCCCTTCAGGGCGCTGTACTCGGTTTTTGTCTGGAAGCTTTTCCGGTCGAGCGTCTTGCTTGAGAATGCAGATTGACTGTGCCGAGTTTACGGACAACATCCAAAGAACAGACATCATTTCCCAAGCTTTCAATCCGTGTACAAACCAACGCCCCGCCTGCGCCAACGCCGACAATCCACACTATCCCACAGTTCTGGCCAGCGTGCCTACACCTTCTTGTTGAATACTATTCTTAAATTTTTAAGCCTGTTCCAACCTCAATGATTTCCAGAGCGCCCGCAACTCACGGTCTACGTACCACCCTCCTCTGCCTCAGACTTGCCCGCGGCATCGGGCCTCTTCGATAATGCCCCCGCCAACCGCGCCTATCCAAACACCCACTGCTCAACAAACATCACAACAGCGCCAATTCCAAGTTAGTTCCTGTCACTCAACCGCAGTACCTTTACGCCTTCCACCGCTCCAGCTCAAGCCTTTCCACCGCGACCGCCCCCGCCGCCGCCGCCACCACCACCCATCAAACCATCCCGCGTTCTCGTCGCCGACGAGACACATGACCGTGGCCGCCGCACTGGTCGCCGCCCGCCCACACCTGCCGCGCGTCTGAAATCCCACCACAACCGGCGCTCTCCACTCCCTCCGCTCCACCGCCACCATCACCTCAACCCAGGCCCAGCGTCGACCCTCTCGGCCATTTGAACCTTGTCCAGATTTCACTCAACTCTCAACACCAGCCACAGATTGGGCAATACTTGTCAAGCCAACCAAGCTCCTCACTGCAGCGGACACTTGAAGGCTTGGAGGTGATCTCCGGGGCCTTCAGCCGTTCACTCATATAGCTATAGGACGATGATGCATATAATTTCTTCGATTCCACAATTATTCGCCATCCGCGGCGATGCACCAAAGACCTCCACCCAAACATCGAAACCACCACCCAACGACTCAGCACGCGCGTGGCACCCACGCTACACGTGAAGGCAGCCCTTATCAACATTCTCACTGGCGTATCCATGCCAGCGCGCGACATGAATGAAGAGGAGACGCTCTCCTGCGCTGGCGTGGTCCGACATCATGGAGGCAAGCGTTGGATCGCTCACTGCTCGCCCCAGCATTACTTGGGCAAGCGCCGCCCTTCCACCACAGAGTTTCATATTCACTCTGCTCTTGCTGGTTCCATACACCAGCAATTTCCCTTCGCTCGTCTTCCACGCTCTGGTGGAGGGAGCGGCCGTGGAACTGTCTTGGAGGTCAAAAGCCTGTTGGAGTTCCTGTGGTTCGGCCCATCGAGCAAACATTGTTCGACGCTGAAATGGGCGTTAAGCTGACAAAGAAGAACGTCACGTTCGCCGGCCTAGTCGTCCCAGTCTAGTAGAGTCCTGCTGGCTGGAGCCAGAGCTAGTGGGGCGATGCGGCCGAGGCCACCTCAGTCCCTTGCCACAATCATGCCCCGTTGGTGCAGTAACTGCTTCCTCGATAAAAAATTGTACATAGCAAGGGGGAATCCTGCGGAAAACATAGCACGCAGAAAGCTTGGTTTTGAAACTATTCTCGCTCCGCGCGAAACACACGCAACTGTTGCGTAACTCCTCGACAATTTTCTAATCTCTCAGCCGAACTCTCCTTTGCTATTGGCACTCCACCGGCGCCGTTGCTACCAATCCTCTCACCAAAACTACAAGCTCAAGAGCCCCTTCACATCACCCACTGGATGCTTCCCTCAACTGGCCACGCATCTATCCCGTCACCTGCACCTCAAAGCCGATGGCTTGCAGTTTCCAGCTCACTTCTTCCCTCGCCTAGCCACCCACATCTTTCGACGCTTACGTCGCCGACCATGCAACACATTCACCCGTGCTTTACATGGCGCCATACTCCCACAGCGCTCCGCAAACACCCCGAGGCCAAGGCTCCTTTGAGACGACCGCAGAAGCACTCCGCTCCTGGCCAATACAGTCACCTTGACCTATATGGAATTCGCCGCGCGGCTTCCAAGCTTGAAGAGGCTGCTGCTTGTACATGCCGTCCCACTACTGATGGGCATTACATCCTCACCCTTGCCGAGATACAACTTCCACCACATCTTCGTCACCTTCTGGACGCCAACATGACCAGCATTTTCTTTCCCACCAAACATCGCTACTTTCAGACCTTCACAAAAGCCTTCACCAAATGGGCTATAAGACACACGGCCTTGTCTCCATTGCTTCAATGCCCTATAGGGAATCTTGAAAGTTTTCTGAGGCCCTCAATTGTAGCAATGGCAAAGGGCGGGAGGAAAAGCTGGCACGGTGCTCGCGAAGAAGGTCTTCGTTGAGATTGGGGGGAGTGGCTGAAACAGCCTCGAAAGTAATGTTGAGGACAGAGCAGTCGAAGCTGTTGAAGTTGAGGCTCGGCATGATGTAGATGTAAGAAAACTGTGGGCAATTTGGCGCAGTGTTGGCGGAGACCGTCTCTTTTTCCCAAGAGCGTCTGCGAAGGGTTCTTCGTAATTAAAGGACCGGATAACCCCACGTATGAATCTTTGCGAATC